ATCTGCACATGACAGCATGTTTGAAGCAAATACAGTTTAATTCAATAAAGAGTGTAAATCAATAATTTAGCAGACCACCCCCATATATAAGCATGCTGAGAAAGCATCAGAGTATTTGGATGGTTATTGGTCACATGTGACTTAGATGTTTATGGCCATTGTATCATTCAGCTTATGGAAACAAAACATTATGCATTTAAGAAAATGTATGCTTTGGGTTTTTTTTCACTTTTTCTTTCAGAGTAAATGCTGCTTTAATTTACTGGGACATTCTGGATAGTATAGCATGATATCTTTCACAGCTATGGAGATTACCTATGTTGATAGCATGTTCTACGCTTACAGTGCACTTTTGTGGATGTCATATGCTTGAATTCTCCACAGGACACATTAAATTGTATTTAGACACAATTAAGCACAAGCATGAAACACTTAATTAGTATGTCATGTGCAGATTTAATGAAGCACTCTTCATCATAGAAAAGAACCATAGGGAACATATGCAAACAGAGCTTTCCTTTGTTAATATGGCATATTCAATTTTCAGTAACAATACAACGTAATAATTTAAAGCAGAATGGCAATCATTCTTTACTTTGTATTTTGTATAGAGTGAGACAGGATTTGATCTTTTCCAGGTCTTTATTGCTTTCCATGACACCAGCAGTGAGCCCCTAACCACGTTTGGTCCTACCATGACATCCACTGTTCTGTTAAGTGCTGATGTTCCTCAGTTCTCTCTTTAAAGTAAATCTGCAAATATATCTATGGAAAATCCAGTATGAATTCTCTATATATTGCACTTCCCAAAGGGAACCAGGAAATTCAGCCCTGGAGGGAGGGGGTTCTTCCTGTAAGAGTTACAGAGAACAATAAATACCTTGGGATCAATCCTCACCTTCCCTTACCCCCAAAAAAAGACTTAGATTGATCTTCACTACATCTCTCAGATGCTTTGATCTGGACCGGCTATTTAAGAGCAAGTGTATATACTGAGCTATACAAATCTGGTGACTAGTTTGCAGACATTTCAGTTTTACCAACAAAATAGAGAGAACTGCTATTTTTTTTAAAGTAATTTGGAAGTAAATATTAATGTTTAATGTATAACATTTAAAATCTGTGTTGTTGAATACATCTATCAGTTGCAATAATGACAGTGATATGTTGAATTGGTTGTGTGGTTAATTTGAACTTAAAAATGGCAAAATGTATATATTTGCAAACAGTTGCAAAAAAAATCAGAGGGGGATTTCTTGTGTGAACTATGGATGCACAGTAAAAATGACATCTTATAATTGGCTCTAGCATCAGTTGAATAATATAGTGCATAACATGTTGTATAACATCAATACATCCCACTGCAACAACTAAAATTCAGCCAGTTTCTAAAGCACATTGTAAAGAACTACAATACAGCATCAACCAATATCCTGTTTTTTTAAATATGAATATGTAGGTTAGGAAACCACGTCTTCTGACTAAAATTCAGCACACTTTTTCACAAAGGTGATTACAATAGAGTAACATAATATGATTTTCACTAACAAAGCAAACCTATTTATACATGGCTTGGTTTAAAATATTTTAGGCTTTCCTCTTCCATTATACCACAAAAGGTAAGCTCTGTATGGAAAATTAAGATGTACATTTTTGAAGCTAATAGACATTATGAAAGCCAATAATAGATATTTGATCCAGGCTTTAAGCTCAATGTTTACCTTAGGCTTCATTCACACTCCTCAGCATGGAGAAACATGTAGAAAGAAGCTGCAAAGGATCATTTGACCTTATTTTTATGCTTTTATACTCTAGTTTATATACATTTACATGTATTTTACACGCATTTCCATACTTTAACAATCTACTTGTATTAGCTTGTACACATTTTGTTTAAATGCATTTATATGGGTTTACATCAGTCAACATATCCATCCTACAAGACAAACTGACCAAAAAGTGCATACTTTACAAGTAGATTAAGATCAATGCATTGCATATAGAAGCATTCATTGAATGTGAACTTCATGATTTTTTAACATAGATATGTACTGCTTTTGTAAATGAGGCCTTAGGTTTTTCTTTTTGGAAAGTTAGTGCTTTAATTTCTACTGATGGGCTTGTTTTATAAAGTAGTTCAAGTGAAAAGTGCAGTAGTGAGTATTAATAAATCAAAGATAGGGTGCTGTAATTGGATGATAAAAAATAAATGCTGATTGTTTGCCATTGGGTATTGTCCCTTAACAACCCCATCAAACCAAGCTAACTTGTGGTTATCTGCAATAAGCATTCACCAAAGGTATTCTCCACTTCTCAACTGAACAGCACTGTGGAGCTACAAGGTCCAGAGTATATATCACTACATCACAAGTTTGCAAAAGTTCAAACACATGTGCAATAGAAACACAGCTCTGTTTACTTATATGCCTAACCTCCACCTTACTGGGTAGGTATCAGACACTCTTACTGGCCCAAAGTAGAACAGGTCACTATTTATTTCTTCCACAAGGAAAGTCACTTTTGCTTAATGTTCTGATGAAATCACAGGCATACAAGTTTTAACAAAACTTTTCTCCACTCAGTTCACTGTCTTACTGCAGAGCCCTGAATTAAGAAGAACTCTGACTTCCTCACGCTCTCTACCAATCACATGATCCTCAGTATGTCCCAATGTCAGAACTGCTCCTAGAGACAACAATTTCAGCTGTAAGGCAGAAGAAGCACAACAGTGCAGACCAAACACATCGAAAAAGGTATAACAGTTTATTGCATTTACAGGGTTAGACATTTTAAAAGCATTTAAAACTTGCAATATCTGTCTGTCCGACCCAAATATTTCCTTTCTGGCTTTATCAGGGGATGAGATGGATGAATAATGAATAAAAAGAGCTGTGTTTTCTATAGCACATGTATTTGAACTTTTGCAATCAGTTGTTCTAAGTGAAGGAGTGATATACAGTATATACTCTAGACCTTATAGTTCGACAGTGCTGTTCATCTCTGTGAAGGACATTTTTTGGCAAATACTTATTGCAGATAACCTCAAGTTAGTGTGATGTTATGTAATTGTTTTGTACTATTTGAAAAGGTTGTCCAACTTTATGACTACTGGTTTTCCATACCTCATATTGTACCTTGCACATAGTGCTTGCACGTTGCACTGACAAGACATGTTTCTTCCGTTTCCATACACAGCATTGACCAATATGTATACAGTATATGAATGGTGTTCTAGGTGTGAGGCACTATAGTCCCAACAATACTACGCTACAATACTATTCTACTAAAAAACGTAAAATACTAGAAAACACAGATATTGTTTGAATAAGCACTTAAACACTTTATTAGTAGAGTATAATTCCTGGGGCAAAGCACCGCACATCTAGAAAAGTATTCAGACTTAGATTAGTGAGTATATGACACATACCCTGTGCTGGCCAGCTTAGTGAGGTAAGGTTAGGAGTCTATTAGCACAGAAGTATAATATTTCTCCTATGTATATATGCCTACTCCAGTTCCACCATCTCTACCAAACCTAAAATTGCAGCCTGGACAGATGACTATCCACTAACAAATTGTTTCCACCCCCATTCTACAACTCCTCCACCTGGTGAGCATCCATAATCTACTCCACCTCCAAATCATCCCTCAAATTTTTGACCATCCATTAACTAACTACACCCCCATCTTTTAAAACAATGGTCACATTTTCATGTTCCCAGAACCTTCCCCACCTGCATGTTGAGGAGAAGTGTCATATTCTGACAGAGCGACAGGTAATATGTTCCAACATAGCAAAGTGTTTTAAACATATGGATATAATTATGTGTTTGAACACTGACACCTTCTGATAGAGAGACAGATAATAGTATTATATTGTGCTCGGACACCGCGGTATGTTCTGTCTTATTAGTTTATATGCATTGCATTTTTATTTAATTATTGTACATTGACACTTTTTAACACACAACCACAAATGGAGATTTTTATTTCTCTTCATAGTTTATCCATTTCTGTCAGTTATATTGCACATTTTCCATCACAAAACATAAAATAACAGTATATATTCTGTTTTCAATAAATGTATTTAAATTGACTCATATTTTTCTTTCTACATTTCTACACCTTTTATACAAGCCTGCAGTTGTAAGAGCCACCATCACACGACATCACACACCCAACCGAGGAGAAGAAATCTTTTTCCACTCTTGGGAGATTTACTCTTTCTATGGGTTTAGATAACATTGTCACCAAACATTTGTTTGGTTGTCAGCAGATCAGAAATAGAGGGGATATCTTCAAATAATTGTTTTGGTGAAAATTGTCCAAAAGGGGATTTACCATTACTTTGGAGAAATTTCCTCTCACTTCCTGTTTTTTTTTTACACAAAAAGAAGTTGAGAGTTAAGGGGAAGCTCTCAAAATAACTGGGAGACATTTTAACCATTCCCTATGCTTGCCAACTTTAAATTTAAAAAAGTTTTCAAATTTAAATAAAGTTTACAGACTCGTGCTGTTACTGTTTCTTATTTTATAATGGACCATTGACAGCAGATTTGCCCTCCTTTATTTGTTGGCTTACCCAATTAAAAATAAAAATATTTATGTACAACCTCTTTTATTTTTGTCTCTATAGTTATTAAACCCTTAAGCAGTTTGTTTTGTCACTCTCAAGTCATAATTTCGCTGTTCACGCAAGAATCCCAAATGATACCGTTTCATTGAAAAGCCTATTCAGTTGCTTCACTTGCTAAACTTCTGTATTTTAAATCAACATGCATTTTTCTTAAAACTTATACTAATATTTTTACTTTTTTTATTTGATTGAAATGCCAGTGTGAAAGGTGCTCATAATGCTATATTAACCAGTTAAACATACCACTGCCATTAGCTCACTTTGCTTTGCAAAAATTTGGGCTTAGTGGCATGTTTCTATTTGGGGGGCTTGTGATAATATCACCCTTTCCTGACACAAGCCATTATGTATTTCACTATTGTAGGGGAAAAGTTCTAGGGCGGCAGATAAGGCTGTTGCCATGGTGATGAAGGAGATACCGAGACAGCCGTCTGCAGAGGAAAAGCCCCTCCTTTCTATGACATCACAGGTGGGCTGTACCTGGATTTTAAGAAACTGACACATGCAACTAGCTCTTAGAGAAAAATTAAAAGGACAATAATAACCATTGCTTTAATATTTTTTATAAAAGAGGCCATAGGATTTCTTTTTATTCCGAATGCCTGTACTAGTTATTTTCTAGCACTTGAAAATAAATAATGTCATGTCAAACGGTGACATTTAATTAAGTCAGTAAACCAAATGCATTCATGGGCACAATATGCATGTGTCAGTTTTGCAGTACAGTGCTTTATTTTATTATTTATGTGATGTTTCAGTGATTGTGTTGTGTTAAAAAAAATAACTGCTGTGCCTAGTTTGATAAGCCTTGCAGAGTATTTAATCAAATTACTATGTGCTTGTGCATTGATTTGTGTACTTTTGTGTACGCCTGCATATTTCTCACATTGTTATTTGTAAAAAAAAAGTATAGGAAGTATAATGAATCCCTAAAAACAAATTAATATATGAAATCTGAAAGAGATTTTTCGCCAAAAATAACATTTTGTAAAAATGGGTTATATTTTATGTCACCATAGAAACCTTATACTCCTAAATTTGTTGACTTGAGGTCTATAGGGCAGAATTTCACAATAACACAATTCGCCCCTAGTTTCATGATCTTTTTTTGCTTATATGCTTAATATATGTAGATTGCACTTGTTCGTTTATTGCAAAATAAATTGTAATTTGTTGCCACAAAACATGTGGCCATGTGAGAGGGGTACAGGCAAATATAAGATCTCATTTTACCATATGTTACATTTAAAAAACAGGTTCACCTTTACATAAACTAACGTTAGCCCTCTCCCACCAGCCTCTTGAATTATACTTAATTTTAACCCACCACCACCCCCCTAGCTGCTTACATACCTCTGTAACAGAATAACAGCCAGATTTGTTATCTGTCTCCTCTGCAACTATTATTTTTGGAATCGGTATTGTCGCTATCTGCACACACAGAGGTCTATTTATAAATGTTAAGAATTCACACAATTTTCACACATTTTTCCTATTGTATTTAGTTCGAAACTATGAGTAAATCCTGGGTGAAAGTTATGTGAAAACATTTACGTATAATTAGACCCCTTTTTCTCATTGAAGCTGAAAAGAACCGTATAACAAGACTCTAAAACAACATTCCTATATACTTTAATTTTGGAATTAGTAGGAAATGGTTAGAAACCCTATGCCCCATTGGGGAGTCTTTCCTTCACTTCCTGTCTCAAGAACACAACAAGAAGTGAGAGAAATCTCTCCAAAGTGAATAAAATCCCCCTATAACACAGCTGCAAGTAGAACAGATGTGCACATTGGAAGATTTTTTTCCTCACTTCCTGTTCCAGTTACAACTCTATGGCCTATTTAAAAAATAAACCAGTGTAGCACTTATAAATATTATCTAAAACTTTACATCAATCTGCATAATCATCAAATAATAAGTGCATATCATATAAAATCCATAAATATTTGTCTCTTCAACATAAATATACTGTCTATAGAATAACAAGATGATCTGATTAAATTGAACCAAAGCTTCTCACACACGTGTAAATCCACACACCATGCTTAATGTATGTAGAACAAAAAAGGTTTTACATACATAGGGTGAATCCTATCACCCTTTTAACACACACCTCTCACCTCAGAGGATGGACCTATTTACTATTTTAAGTGTCATTAAGCTTGTTTACTAGCTTCAGGGGAAATAAACTGGATGGTGTCTTTGTCTCTTGGTCCATCCAATAGCTAATGTATAAGCTCATAGAGGTAGCACTGTTTTTTTAAAGAGAAAATCCGGTGCTACCCATGTAAAACATTATTTATTAAAAGACCAAAAACACAGGACACTCGCATGTAAATGTGTGCAATTAACTGGCACAGTCAGAATAGCATATCTTTTTAGAGAAGGAACTGGCTGCATAATGCAATCTGTACAAAGCGTTTAACACTCTCTTATCTCTTCCCGTTCCACTCTATAACATCACCTGAACTCCACTCTAACTCATGTAAAGCTTGGAAAAAAGAGTTCCCCATGTGAGGATCAAACTTACAACCTTCAGATTATGAGATTGAGGTTCTAATGAGTCCAGGGACACAGGGATATACTGAGTGTGCCAGTTCATTGACCTCATATACATGTGAGTGTTCTGTGTTTTTGTTTATTTTAATAAATAATGTTTAAAATGGGCAGCACTTTGGATTTTATATTTATTTCCCTCTGTGAGAATATACATTAACCATTGGACGGTACAGGAGACAAAGACACCATCCAGTTTATTTCCCCTGAAGCTGGGAAACAAGCTTAATGAGACCTAAAATAGTCATTAGGTCCATCCTTTGAAGTCAGAGGTGTTTGTTAAAAGGGTTAGAGGATTCACCAGGAGTCATCTTTGTTCTAAAGTATACAAAGGAGTGAGATTTCTATGCTCGGCAGTTGCAGGCGTTTGACGAGAGCCAACATCAGGCAAGGAAACAGCTTTATTTGAGTCCCCTAAACAAAACGAGAACTTAACCCTTGCAGTGTGAGGGTAGCCCCGCCGCAAGAGTTTTTCCTTAGCCTAGAGTGGGGGGAGGGTATAAAAATAAAATTACTTAAACTAAGCGTTGATAATTTAATTATAGATAAAAATAACACAGAAAGTAGTAAAAAGGGAGTTAATAATAGTGGGCTCACTCCAGTCAATATAGGAAATCCGTTGGCACATGTAAGTATAACTACCAACGGACGACCGAAATCAAGGCAGAATAATAACAATAAAAATAGTGGGGAACAACAAGGTAGTAAACTTTTGTCCCACAAAAAGAGAGGAATTAAATGTATGTACACCAACGCTAGAAGTCTGGCAAATAAAATAGAGGAGCTTGAAATTAGGTTAATTGAAGAGGACTTCGACATAGTGGGTATAGCGGAAACCTGGCTGGACAGCACGCATGACT